AAAAAATAAAATATATTTCTATATTTTCTTACTCTGTTGTAAAGCTGAGTGTACATAGTCATTATGAATATGAAAGAAGCGTGAATGCATCCCAACGGTGCTAAGAAGAGAAACAGAGTAAAAGATGCATGATTCTGGTATCCACAACAGTTGTTGATCCAAGGACAATGGTGATCCATCTTCATGACACATCTGTGAATAATAAATTCTGATTAATATAGAAGACAAATGAGTTTTGTGGGTTTTTTTGTTTATTTGTTTTTTTAAAGAAAAGGACAGCTAGCTTTCTACAGCCTTCACTCGTTAATTTAAACCCATCCATTTCTGACAGATCAACACAGCAGTGTCCTTTGTTGTTGTTATTCAAAATAATATTTCATGTTGTAGAATGAAAGAAAACAAAACAAGTACTTGCAGGTCCTACTCTTCCTGATCATGTGCCCTCCACCTTACTCAAATTTTCTAGGTGTTAATAAACACCAGAATTCAGAATCAACAGGCAAGGGAATTTTAAGAACCAATTATGAACATCATAATTAATCACTAATGTTACTGCCATTTTTTTCTAAATAAGCACACACAAAAACAAAAGAAATGTCGAATCCCATGTGTACTTCTTGCTTAAAGAAGAGGGATTTCTCATTAAACTCTCCTGGTTTTGGTAGAAGATCCTCTGAAATCTTCATTAATTGCTACATATTGACCTCACACCACTCTAAGTCCTTTCCTAAATCTGTTTATTAGTGTAAACACCCTAGAGACACCCTTGTATCCAATATTAAGCCAGTTATTTTGCTTCGGCTTACAGGTGAAAAAAAAAAAAAAAAAAGAAATGATAAAAGATTTGTCCACATACCAAATTGCCTAGATTTAACTGAGCAGGTGTAAAACTTACTAATTGCAATTTTTAATTACAACTGCAGACCAAAGGTAAGTGATAAACAAAGGGTTGGATTGCAAAAATATCCAGTTCCTCTGAAATCAAAAGTTAATTGTTTTGGAACTACCAGTGTCGTTTATCTTTTAAGATAGTTCACTCCCAACAGGGAGTTCAGTCTCTCCCTTTGAAAAAAATTAACACTTTGTTAGCGTATGCTCAGCTCTTGCTGTACAAGTTTTTGAATATGTAGTCAAAATTAGCAGCACAAGTGTTTCTGAAGAAGTTCCTGGGTCTTGGCTAGAAATCTCACTCCATTCATGAGGGCCACAGGAATTGTATCCATTCAAACTTGACAGAGCATAAAAGACTTTGTGGTGATTTATGTTAAATACCTCATCGCACTGCAACAGTCTAGAAATACATGCAGAGTGAGTTATTTTGGCCAGAGCTGAGGGGGCAGGAACTTCTTTAAATAGTCTATTTTTCTAGATTATTTTGCCAATACGTGCTTCAGTTTCTTCTGGTTTATTTCACTAATGATAAATTATTAAAATAACTTGCTTTTGCAGAGACAATCATCAGAATCTGCTGCCATTTCTAAATAACTCCTCAGCATACGGACTGTCACTCAGAGAAAGACTAATTTTAAAACTTGGGATGATGCAGCTAAATGACAGCCCTGGTCTGTGGTTTCAGGCTCTGCTTCCTGAAAGCACAGTGATTGGGTAACTTGTATTTATAGAAATAACAAATGAATGTGCATGTTACAATACCCTTTTACCATGATCTCTAGTTAGTCCTTCAGAGGAGGACCTGCACAGTAAACGGTTAAAGGCATCTACAGTGTGGACTGCAAACAGTGCAAGTGTCTTGCCTTTTTTTTTTTTTTTTCAAGCTGCACTAAATTTCAGTGCAGCTATTTATAATAAAAACATATAAACATTAGCTCTAAACAGACCTGTTGGAAGATTAACACATAAAAAAGGCACAAATATTTTAAGTTAACCACAAAGGCTTATGTCTTGACTTAACAAGGAAACTCCCTCTGAAAAAAAAAAACACCTTCAGCACATGGTAAAGAGCAGTCCAAAATTCCCACTCAAATCAACATTTTAACTGGTAAGATAACAGAACAGGCTTTTGTACTGCCTGAACAGGACAACGCTTGGGCTCAGAACTTAGAAAGGACTGAAAGATTTTTAGGTATTTACATAGGCTCACCTCCCTGAAACAGTACTGAAATATTCTGTTAATACTGTCAAGTTCTTAAGAGAAACTGATTTTCAACTAAGAAGAAAACGTTAAAGGCAGATAAACTTATTTATCTTTCTTCACTATAATGCTGTAAGAACAGACAGAAGTCATACAACTGGAAATATCTGAAACAGGTACAATGTCCATTGGGAAACCTTTTAAAAATATACAAGACCTGAAAGAATGAATAATATTAATAGTTATCACTAGCACAGTAGTTGCTTTCAGTACAAACAAAGCAATTTTAAAGAGACAATACCTGTTACATTTTCGACAGTGGTGTGAACGTGGTGCCTTGTAAGACTGACATACTTTACAGTATTGGAGATACATGCAATCCTGAGAATTTTCCTTTAAACAGAAGAGTGGGCATATTAGACAGAATACATAATTCTACTGGCAACACACATCTTGGCACTTGCACAGCCTAATGCATCCTTGCTTTCTTCTGACAGGGTGTGTTCCACAACCCAACCCTATTTAATGGTAGGTGGTGGGAGGGGGGAAAAAAAGAAGAAAAAAAATCTCTGCTATCGACACAGCCATCTCTCACTGTTGAGAGTGCTCCTAGCTAAAATAAACAAACAATTCTTCAATCAGGATTAGGAATTGTGCAAACAGGGTTTGATAGCGAACTGAGAGTCTAAAAGAGCATGGGGCCTTTATCACTAAAAAAAATAATAACTGTATGCCTTGTCTTTTGTTTTAACCTATGAGCCAGTCTAGGCAAGCTACTAGAAATGGTACTACTGAGCGTTAATGTTGAGCTGGCTCTCATCACGCTCTTGTCTCCCTGTCTTACAGAAACACTTGTGTATGATAGCTACAGAGACAGAGAAACTTGTAGAGAGCATGTATTAATGCTGCACAAAGTGGAGTAGACAGTAACCCCGTTGGGACTACCTTTGGATATTCTTTTCCCTACACTTGGTCTTGAGAACTAGCTCATGAATAGAAGTGCGATTATTCCTAGTGTTGGTGTTCCTGAAACACAAGCTTTGGCCAGCTGTCTCGAGATACCGAGCCTGCATCACGCTGGTCCTTGACTGCTGCTATTCTGAGAGGTTACTGAAGGGAAGGAAGCGAGAATTTCTACCTTGACTTGCAAATAGGGTGGTACAGCACTGACACGGGCTGCCCCATCCCTGGTAGTGCTCAAGGCCAGGCTGAATGGGGCTCTGGGCAACCTGCTGTGGTGGGGCTGGAATCGGGTGCCCTGTGCGCTCCCTTCCAACCCTGGCCACTCTGTGCCCACAACGCTGTGCTGAACCCTAGCCTAGCACGTAATTTGCTGCCTCACCTTCAATTTACTGAATGAAGTCTGTACCACTGGCGGCGAAGCCTGCACCACCCCAGCACCTGCATGAGCGTGCAGGGAACCCCGAAGCTCCAGTTCCTGCGACAGGGCGCGACAAAGGCGCGACAGAGGCGCGACATGGGGCTTCCCCAGCCCTCCCCCCCCTCCCCTTTCCCTTTCCCCTCCCCATCCCCATCCCCGCAGCGAGGCAGCTCTTACCGGCGTCCACCCCAGCGGGACGTACCCGGGGCCGACGAACATGGCGCTGAAGTAGTTGTAGAGGATCATGACGGTCCAGTTGAGGAGCACCACGAAGTTGACGCTTCCCCCGGCGGTGTCCAGGGGCCAGTACCACAGCGCGGCGTCCGCCATGGCGGTGGCGGAGCAGACGGCCACCACGGCCAGGGCCACCAGCGGCCCCCAGTGGCACAGCCGCCGCGCCTGCCGCAGCCCCCCCGGGCCGCCCATGGCCGCTACCGCCGCCCGCCCGCTGCCGCCGCCGCCGCCGCCGCCTCCAGCCCGCCGCCCATGGCCCCGGCGGCCGCTGAGGGAGATGGAGGGGAGGGAAGGGAAAGGGAAGCGCCGGGCTTCAGCCCCGCCCCGCACGGCCTCAGGAGCCTGGCAGTCCGCGGCTATCGGGGACCTCTGGGAAACGGAGTCCCGGCCCGTGTGGAGGGGTGGGCTGGGGTCAGGCATGGAAGCGGTAGGGTTGGAAGAGAGCTTCGAGACCTTCATCGGGTCCAGCCCTCCCTACACCACCACTGTCACACCCTGAACCCTGTCCCTAAGCACTACATCCAACCTCTCCTTGAACACCACCAGGGATGGTGATACCACCACCTCCCTGGGCAATCCATCCCTATACCCGACCGCTCTATCTAGGCAGAAATGTCTCCTTGTTTCCAATCTGAACCTCTGCTGGCGCATCTTGAGGCCATTCCCTCTGGTCCTATCACCAGTTATGCGTGAGAAGAGGCCGACCCCCGCTCCCCACACCTTTCAGACAGTTTTAGAGAGCAACGAGCTCTGCCCTGAGCCTCCTCTGCCCCACACCAAACACCCCCAGTGCCCTCATCCGCTCCTCACAAGACTTATGCTCCAGACCCCCCACCAGCTTTGTAGCCCTTCTCTGGACACGCTCCAGGGCCTCGATGCCCTTCTTGTGCTTAGGGGCCCAAAACTGAACGCAGTACTCAAATACAGGGGGGACAATCACCTCCCTGGTGCTGCTGGCCACCCTACTCCTGATACAAGCCAGGGTGCCGTTGGCCTTCTTGGCCACCATGGGCACACTGATGGCTCATGTTGAACTTAGCAATATGGTTTAGTGAAGGACTTGTTAGTGTTAGGTCAGAGGTTGGACTCGATGACCTTGAGGTCTCTTCCAACCTAGAGAATTCTGCGATTCTGCCCCAAGCCCGCAGCGCTCCACGGGGTTGTTTTTCAACAGGCGGGGTTGCAGCGGACGGGCCGACCACCATCTCCTGAGCATCAGAGCTGCAGCTGGAGCCTTAATGGCTCACTGCGAGGGGCTGGGTGGGTGACACCGCAGCCATCCCCCAGAAGAGGAGGAGAACTGCGGCGGAACCCTGTGCCAAGCGCCGTGCGGGCGGCGGGGAGGCGTTTTTGCAGCGAGCAGAACACGGAAGCGGCTCTGCGAGGAGCGGCGCCCCCCCTGCCGCTGCCGCCGCCGCCGCCGTCGCCATGTCCTCCGACTTCGAGAGCTACGAGCAGGACTTCGCCGTGCTGACGGCCGACATCACGGGCCGCATCGGCAAGGTGCCCAAGCTGCTCGGAGGTGAGCCCGGCGGGGAGAGGGGGCTCGGCAAGGAGCCCGGCCGGCAGGGTAGGGCAGGGCGGAGCGGGGGCAGCCTCCCGCCGGCTGCCTCACGAAGCTGGCTGCGGGTCCCTGTGCTTCTGGCCGGGGATGGAGGAGGAGGGCTGTGGGGGTGCTGCTGCTGCTGCACCTGCCCGGTGCTGAAGGCTCGCTGTTGGGGTCCTGCCACACGGTGAATAACGAAAATCGAGCTTTTTTTTTCGTGTGGTGTAGGCAATGCCGGAGCTGGGTAATTGGCTGTGGTGACTCACGTGGAGCAGGAGATTGAAGGAGATCAGTGTCCGTGTGTTTAACGTGTTGGTCACCAGCCTGCAGCGTTCACGGGCTGGTGCATGATATATCCCCGTGGTACAGATGGTAAAGTCCACGAGTGTCAGGGCAGAAGGCTGAAAATGATAATCTCTGGAACCAGGCAGCTGCATCTTCTAACAGACGCAATCAGTGCGCTGCTGGGGTGCTCCCAGAACGAGGCAGAGGATGGCTGAAATTGGGTGTCTCATGCAACTCACCTTATTCTTCTGTGTCCAGGCTGCTAAGGACTTCTGCCTCCTTTTCCCATGCACATTTTGCAAAGCTTTGTGATGCTTAACCAGTGGAAGTGGTTATCTTAAACACAGGCAATCAAAAGGCACACACTGATGTTACATCTGTATGATTAAAGGGAAAAAAAATCATATATCCAGGACCAAAGAATAACTTCTTACTTTTAGGGTGAGAAGTGCATCATGAAGTGATGAAGTAGTGACTAAAGAGGACTTGAGGTAGGTGGTTAACTAAAACATATAATCCCAGTGCATTGTTAAGTCAGAGGTCCAAAGTACACCTGAAATGAGTCAATGGGGATTTTCAGTAAAAGTCTGATTTTGAGAGGTTATGTCTAATTCTAATGTTAGGAAGTTAGAAAGTCTTCTAATAAATTGAGGATCAGAGATCAACCACAGGAATAACTGAAAGACAGGAATCTGTCTTCTCATTGGCTTAACAAAGCTGTTTTGCTGTTGGGCGTAATAATAAAAGGCATTTGGTGTTAATTCAATCACAGTCTGCAGGTACTTATAAGATAGTGTTCTTGCATTTGAGATTTAGAATGGGTATAATTTAGATTGCCCAGAAACAATATTTAACCTGTAAATAGCTACTGAAACCATTTACAGAGAAGCGACAGTAAATTCTTCACTATTGTGAAGTTCCTAATTGAGGCAGTATTTCTTTTTCCACTGCCTCAGAAAGAGTTGTTGACTTTTATAGCAGTAAATACAAGGAGTTCTTTCAAGTAAGGGAAGACATCATAAATACACAACTGTCTCCTATTCTGAAATTTGGTAGTGCTACAAAGTGAGCATGCTTATTGAAAAGGAGCAGAGACTTCATTTCTTAATTGCGTGGATTATGGAAGTCACTGGAGTCTGTTTAGCAGCTGAAGAATATTCTGCTTCACAGTAGTGGATTTCCATAATCCTCTCCTTCAAGTCAGCCCCCCTTATTCACTCTAGGGAGACTTTGGAGCTTAAACATGAAATGAATGAAGAGTATTGTCTTTAACAGTGACATAGCTTGAGAGCAACAGGCTTTGAAATCATCATTCTTTTAAGTAGCCATTAAAAGGATTTTATTTTTTTTTGTTAGAACTTACTGTCCTCTCAGGAGAAAGAATGCATGTTCCCTGTGGGATTGATAGTGTGGTATTGGGCTAAATGGCCTCAAGATAATACAACAACTAATTTATTTTTCCTAGAAGTGGCTTTTCTATGTTAGGATTTGAGGCTGATCTTATATGGTTTGAGCTGGCTTGCTTTATAGCTACTTTTTGCTCTGAATGGAGTGCTTCAGTTTTCAGAACTTCTCTTGTCTTTCATCAGCAAAAAGTTCACATATAACTTTATTACCTAAGACTGCAATTTGGCTTAGAGGTGCTTGTCCACCTGGGGAAGCAAAAAAAAGAAAACAACTCTGACTATGCTGAACACTTTAAACAGAATATTTTAAATACACATTTTTCCCTTGTTTCTTACTAGGAATATTTGCAAGATCTTTGCTTCTTCATCACCAGAAGTTCCAGTTAGTTCTTGTGGAGATGGCTGGGAGAGCCTCAAAAAGAGGATTATGATTCAAGGTGGGAGGGGGACGTGAGGACAGATGCACGTGAGGTGGCATTTTTCAGAAGCAGTGATATGAGAGAGATTGCTGATGGCCTTCTTCCTCCACGCTGGAAGAAGCAGGATGCAAAGTGTAAGGACTTGAGCTACTTCTGCATAATACAGAGAGATCTACTGAAGTCTAGTGACTGGTTTGTTTCCTTCTGCTTCCCAAGACGGACCTGCTGTAAGCTTCATGTTCAGTTGAATTGGAGAAATGACGGTTAATTGCTTTTCTAATGTTCCTGCATTCAGAGTTTGACAGCATTTGATGCAGCCTTGTGTTCTAGGAGGAGGATGGCTCAACAAACAATCCTATTGTCACAAAGGCATAAATAGTTCAGCAAGAAATGTAACAAAGACAGTCTGATACTACAGAAACAATAAGCGTCAGGGACAATAGAACGTCTGGGGAAGAAATATCTTCTGTTGAGGCAAACGTCATCTGGAGAATTAAAGAAAGTGTTCTAAATTCAGAAATGTCTTTTAAGTAGATTTTCTGTGATGGTGCTGCAGGTCTTTGGAAAACAAAGATCGTTGACTGATGTGTTTTATTGATATTCCTTGGTGTTTTAGAGAAACATCTGTCTTGTTATTTGACCAAATACATATATAAATTTTGATTGCTTGATCTGAAAGAGAATGTTCTCAGTTAGTAAACTGTGATATTTAGCCTTTTTCCAGCATGGTAGCCTCTGTGTGGTGATGTTTTTTCAACTGGAGTGCTCTATTTCTTCTCATACTTGATACCTGCATCTTCTACTGGGCAATCAAAGCACTGTATTTCACTTTGCAACAGATTTAACTAAAGTCCTACCTTTAATTTTGTTTCATACCTCTGTCATGGAGTTTACTGTCTTCATTTCATGACTGGCTCATTATGATGTGCCTCTGGAAGTCAGTTTTATAAGACAAAGAAAAAAGCATGTGGTGTTCCGTTTGTCTGGCAAAGGGGTGTTAGGTGAACATGTAAAACACCTCAGCCAGTGTAGTGAAATCTACAAGTGGTCTACAAACTAAAGTTCTTTGTCACTCAGTCTCTTCCTCAGTGTGTACTAATAAAAAGAAGCAACTCCACAAGTAATGAGACTTAATAGTCTTGGTCTAGATTTTTTTAATGTCTTCCACGGTTGTGAGCTCAAGCCGGTGCTGTGTTACCTTTCTATACCTGTAGGCAGCCATCTGCCTTTCTGTAACTGCTCGACGTTGGGGGACTAATACAAGGGCAAAAAAAGCTGAAAGAACAGAGGAAAATGTAGTAAAGTTTATTTCATTTAAGAAAGTGATAAAACCTTGTGTACAGACACAGAATTGATTTCACTGCAGTCCTTACTCAGATTCCTTACTTTTGTTTCTAGTCTTTGTGCGTATCCATACTATGCCAATTTGACCAGTTCAGTTATGCAAGCTAAGTGCTGCCTTTTCTTTAGGACATTTTGTCTGGCAGCGTGGAAACAAATTGCATTCTAAATTTAGATATGTTTGAGGGAACATTGCTTTTTATTTTTTTATTATAAAGGGTATCGCCTGTTCTGAATTAAGAAAAAAATAAAAAAAACACTTGCCAGTATTTTATATATGGAAACGTACTTAAAGAAATTGCTAAGTGGGCAGATTTAAAAACTAAGACGTGACTAAGTGGAGTAAAACACTATTAATATGAGAATCTTTAATTGGATCCCAACTTGTTTGTCCTGATCTACTAGATTAGTGGCAAGATTCGCTTACTCAGAGCTCATCTGCAGTCTCTGAGCAACTCATCCTGTGGATGTTGTGTCCTGTACCGGCATTCTGACTGCAAAAGTCTTTGCTTCCTTAGTTTAGGCATGCCATTAAGACTGAAATTAAAGGGTGTGCACACCATTCCAGCAGGTGCTTTCTGATACTTTTGTAGCATTTCATTGCTTCTGTTGCTGGTATCAGTAACAGGTCTAGATGTATCCGCATTCCTGCAGGCAAGTGGCTCCAGACAGCACTGTGGCACCTGGATTTATTTATGTGGATCCTGCTAGAGGAAGGAGGCAAATGGAAACAAGTGGGTACTTTTAATGATAGTTGGTTAAGTTGACATTTTCCTCACCGAAGTGCCCTTTTGGGACCCTGCCACCCCTTCTTGCTCAGGGGAGCATATGGTACTGTGTGCCCTAGGGGATCAGCAGCTGCAAAAGATCATCTGCTTTGCTGGAAATCTATGGAGGTACTGCTCCAAAGCTGCCATACCTGCTCACACACTTGTGTTGAAAGGACACACTACCCTGTTATGGGTAGGCCTCCCTCCCTGCAGTTGTTTTGGTCACCAGCTGGATGATTATGTATACATAAATAAGAGGATCTTAACATGCTGTTCTGGAGTTGGGTTAAATTTTAGTATTAGCTAAGCTATTGAAGATCATTTGAATACCTCGTCAAATTTATACAATCAGTTGTAGCTGGACCTCCTAGTATACTGATGAGTTTTCCCTATCATGGTCTGTAGGTTAGTATCTCTGGGGGTAAGTAAGATCTTACTGGTTATCACAGCTGGTTTGTACCTGCACTGTATGATAGTAGAGGAAGACTCAGTGTGACAAGGTCTTTAAATGCGTAGCCTGTTTCATGTAGGGAATGGGATATCTCTCAAAATCACCGTACACAACAGTTTGAGTGCAACTGCTAAACCTCAGTTTCCCAGAATAATTTTTGGCAAGTTTTCAGCAGAATAATTTACTGGCAAATGTAGCTGCTGGACAGATGAGTTCCTTGAATATCCACAGAGGAGATGCAGGTAACTGGATTATGCGTTTGGAGTACTGGAAAAAGAACAGGGGATCTGGAGTTCAAGGTCTGGTCAACATTGTTATAGATTCCTTGTGACTTTCGTGTACCAGCAAAGAAAAACATGGTCATTGTCCAAGTAGCAGGGAGAATTTACTGCTGGACTTGCACCAATAGCAGTTGAGTTGGGACAGGCATTTGTATTTTTGCTTGACAGAAATCATCTGGATGAGCAATGTAAATGACTGCATTGGGCTTTATTGGGTTCAGCTCTAGGGTGGGTAACTGAGTATTCAGTGCAGTGCAAGGTAGCTGTTGTAATCGCAAATGCACCCAGATTTGAACAGCATGAAATATCTTCAAAAAATAAACAACAACAAAACTTTATCCCTAGATTTCAGGTTATTTATTTTAATGTGTATTAAATTTGTAATACAGTAAAACTCAGGGAAATGTTGACATTGCTGTAGTCCATTTATTTTCTGCTGCTATATTTTTAATCGTATTTCAGCTTCAATAAAACAATATTGTATATTTTATCTCTCATGTTGTTTTTCCTTTGGTCCATTGTCATCTTGCTTCCAAGTGGAGGGAGGAGCACAGGTGTTTTGGGATGCTGGGTAGGGGAACTGAAATGAAGAAGGGGCAGATTCTCTTGGGGTGGGGGAGGAGGGTAAGTTATGTTCAGAAGATAAATCACTAACCAGGACATTTTCTGGCTTGGGTGCTATCATGAGAACATGGTGGGAAATTCCAGAGAGCCATTGTTAGCATACATCTGCTGTAGTAACATCAACCAGACATGGCAGTGCAAGTTCAAGATTTACAAGAAAGGCTTTTTCCATGGCTTCAGCTTTGTAAAGAGGATTACTTTATGAAATCCTGGGCCTCTTTCAAGCATAAGAAGAGCAGGTCTACTTGTGAGGGATTTAAAGGTGAGCTGTAACTTTTTATTTGTGAGAGGATTCATCTGCTTCTTTCTCACTTGCATCACTGACAGAGTTCCCATTACTCTCCATCAGTGTTTGACAATATTTTGTTCAAGACATGCTGTTCTTACTGCCGCCACCCAGAGACACCTTGATTTGCTTGTATAGGATGTGGTGGTGTCCAAACTGATTCTCTTAGCTCCTGGTGAGCCTCATTGGCACAGGACCACTTGCTTATGCAGTCCAATCTCAGAAGTAGTCTTTACTGACTCTCCAGTTGGCTGTAACACTTTCATCAGAAGTTGGGCTTCTGCAAGAGTAGCTTTGCCTTAGTTTTACCGCAGATAATAGTCTCATTTTGGGATTGGAGCTGAGTTGCGCACTTAGTTCACAATACTATAACAGCTTCTTAGGTGATAACTCAGGCCATATGCTTTGTTCTTGAGAATCTGCCATGTGCAGGATAATATATCTTCAGAAGACAGACTTTCTAATTCTTGTCTATTTGCAAAATCTCTGCATTATGTTCAAGGCAGAAAGATGATCCTGAACCTGATCGTCCCTGCAGGCAGAGCTCCAATGTACGTAACTGATGAAGGGCTGACAATGATGTTAGCATGTCCATCAATGAGCAAAATGTATATTATGTAAATGGGAGAAGTAGAGAAGATTGTAGAGACTAGTTCTGGTGAAGTTGAAGATAGATGCATAGGCCCATGCAAATGTAATGCAGGACACTAACACCAACAGGAGGTCTCAGCTGAAACTCAACCTGCTTATACTGGGGATGCTTCACCAAAATCTCTAGCAATTTAGTCCTTGCAGGAGTCATTCTGTTGTTTTTAAGGAAGTTTGGTTCAAGGCACATTTTGCTTTATGTGGCAGGACTTCTAGTTTTGGTTTCTATCTTGGTATCCACTGCTCCTTGCCTACAGCACTGGGGAGCAGTGGCTGGTGATACTGTGGCGTGTGCACTTTATCTGCTTCATCAGGCAAACCACCAGCACAGATGATGCTATTAGTTTCAAGCAAACATTGGTATAAAAAGTGGCATCTTCAGAGTTTTACTGTTAAATTTGTCAAAGCACTGGGGTGGATTTACAGTCAGGAGGATGGAAGATATGGCCGTGCAAGGGGCACAAGGCAGTACAAATGGCAGCATTACAGCCTACAGTAGTTAAGCATTCATGGCAAGATCACAATCATATTGGTATCTTCACCATTCTTTTTCAGATGAGAAGAAGCAGATGGTTGCAAATGTTGAGAAACAGCTTGAAGAAGCAAGGGAACTGGTACGTTGTGACTTTTCATAGCCTAACCACAAACTGCTGGAGAAAATAATGGTATTATTAGAGGCTTAACATGTGACGCTTAACATGTGATTTCCAGAAGTATTTAATATATTAGAATATTACATAGTATTTTTGAAATACTTAATATATGAGAATAGGAAATACCCAAGAGAAGTGTATCAGACATTTTAATCTTGTGTTAAGTGATTTAAGGTTTGTATTACTACTGCAAGCTATTACAGGTTGCTACAGGCTTTGATTTATGGGTTAGGTTTTTTACTTTAAGAATTGAATTAAATATTTGTACACTTGGAATATTTTTTTCTTCTAGGATCCATTCATCTACTTGATTTAATCTGTCTGGTTGTCTTGTAGGGTAATAGGTCTTGTTTTCTCTTTCAGCAAGTGAAGGAAAAAATATTTATCTGTCTGAGGTCAAGGAGGTAATAGCAGTGTGAGTTCTTCGTCTGGGAAGACCATATATGTTAACTGAGCATTAGTTAGTGGTCCGCACTAACAGAAGAAAGCAGTACAGATAAAGCATCTATGACTTTTTATATTTTTGTTTCCAGCAATCTGTCATGTACTCCATCTGGAAGGAGTATAAAAATAAAGCTTTGTAGATGTGGACTAAGTGAGCAAAGGTGTAGGTGACAATTGAGATTGACTTTTTTCCACGTAGCCAATAGATCTTACCCTGAAGCAGCTTTTGTTTATTGCTTTCAAATGAGTTTGGTCTATCTAGTGTCAGAAATGTAATCTGATTCCTGGGATAGGAAAATTAAATTAGTTCTGCTAGACTAAAAGCTGTTCAAATTGAGCAACTCAAATCAATGATTTGTTTATTAACCAAATGGTAATATTGAAACTCACTTTTTTCAGATTGTGGCGTAGAAAGAAAAAGGGTGGCTGTGTGTTTGTTGACATACCTTGTGCTTTTAGTCTAAGGATTGAATTAGTCTTGTAGACAGAGCATCTTGCAGTACAGGGAAATTGCAGCCTGGGTGTTCTGCTGAAAAATCATTCAAATTTGGTTCTCTATACAAAGTAAGATTGGAAGGAGCAGAAATTGAGTTAATGGTTCATTGCTTTTCTTCTTATGTCAGAAAAGAGATCATCTGAATTTGTATTTATTGTGAGAATAAAAATTGAATTCTTGTAGCTGCATTTTCATCCTAATGACGATCTTGATTTCGTGTACTGACTTCTTTCACGCTTTTGTTTTAGATCTTGTTGCTAATGCTGCTAGACAGGTGCTTAATTCAATTACTGGCTTTAAGCAATTACCTTACATGTTTGTGATTAATGTCGAGGCTTGGGTTTTAAAATCAATTTGAACAAACCTGCTAATAGCAGAACTGATTAAAAAGATCCCCTTTTAAACTAAAGGCTACAGTAGAAAACCAAAATAAACCTAATTTCTTGCCACTGATAGTTTTTGTACATCAGTTTGCTTCTTTGTCTTGTCTGATAAAAGATTTGTTTAGCAGAATTTATTTCCTAATTGGTTAGAAAATAACTCTCACGTGTTATGAATATCATTGTAAAGACATTTAATTTACATTGACTAATCACTGATTGTTTCAAAACACTGTCTGCTTTGTTTGGGTAAAGTCACTGGTGTAACTGACTTGAGCTATATGCAGAACTGACACCAAGACTTTGCAGACTACCAGGCTGCCTTTTAAAACTGTAGCTGCTGAGTAAGAGATTTCTGGAGAGAAATTGTGTCATTCTTACATCCCATGCAGAGTGTGATAGAGTCATAGAATGTCTCTTCCAACTCAGGTTATTTTACGATTCTGTGATCCTGAGTTGGAAGGGGTCCATGAGGATCACCAAGTCCAACTTATGGCTCCACACAGGACCACCCAAAAATCAGACCCTACGTCTGAGAGCATTGTCCAAAACGCTTCTTGACCTCCGTCAGTCTCAGTGCTGTGCCCACTGCCCTGGGGAGCCTGTCCCAGTGCCCGACCATCCTCTGGGTGCAGAACCTGTCCCTAACCCCCAGCCTGACCCTCCCCTGTCCCAGCTCCATGCCATTCCCTCGGGTCCTGTCGCTGTCCCCAGAGAGCAGAGCTCAGCGCCTGCCCCTCCGCTCCCTGTGAGGGAGCTGCAGGCCGCCATGAGGCCTCCCCTCAGCCTGCTCTGCTCGGGGCTGAGCAAACCAAGGGATCTCAGCCACTCCTCACATCTCTTGTCCTCTTGTCCTTCCTTCACCGTCTTCGTATCAGATACAGTGCCTTTGGGCACTCTCTGATAGTTTTATGCCCTTCTTATAGCATGGTGCCCAAACCTGCACACAGTGCTTGAAGTGAGGCCACACCAGTGCATGTGAAAGTTATTTTCGCTGGGTTTTAAGAAAGGTGAGTGATAAACTTAGATAGGTTTTATGAGTATCTGGCGTGTGCTAGAAGAGCTGGAATTAACAGCATGGCCAAATAAAGTTTGGCCATGTGTTATCTGTCTTTATGCATTATGATGATGTGCACGTCACAAATCCATTGCAGCTATTTTAAGTTTAGTGTTGCAAATGGTAGGTTATTCTTACTTAGACACTTGTGTTATTTTTTTTTTTTTAATGCAAATCTCTATTTTAGCTCAAGGACTTCAGAATTAGAATAAAATAGTGAAGCATCCCCATGTTTCATGCTAACATAAAATGCTAACAACTGTCCAAAGCAATTTCCATGTGGGATAGCCTCTGGAAGTCCTTGTGGGAGGGGGAGATTTATTCTGGAGTCTCCATACAGAGCAGCAGCAGCATATCTTATCCCACTGGGGTTTGGAGTGGAAATACCAGTGGCTGCTCTGCTTTATGCTGTACTCAGTGCTGACAGCATACTGGGTGTTGTGAGAAGGAAACCCACTAGTTTGAACCCCTGAGGAGACTTAGGGGGGGCCTGGTTAATCAATTTGTGCAGGAGTCAGGTGCCAAAATGCTCAGCTTCCCTCACCGTAGTGTTGGCATATTTGAACATGAGCAGTAACAGAAGTTTGGGTTATCAGGTTTTCTGAAGGAAACATCTACAGATGTTTTCAGATTCAAGTGCCAGGTTATTTTTAGTTGTGTTTTTTTTTTTTTTTTTTTTTTTTGTAGGTCTAGTCCTGTTTTTGCTTATGGATGAAACATATTATTTTGACAAATAAAGTGAAAGTGAAGATGCATGAAATGAGGCTGCATTTAGGTTGACACCTGCTTGGATCACCATCTTCTGCATGAGATGGCATGCAAATTTATCATCCCAGGTACAAAATGTACCTGTTTAAACTCATGATGACACACAAAGAAAACAAACAAAACAGCAGGTGTGAAACTTCAGTCAGTTCAAATGTGAATTCATCATTACCTGTAACATTTCCAGGAATATAATGAGTGTGTTCCTAGGACCTTACACTCTCTGATACTGACTCTTTAGAATTAAGATTTGGGATTTTATGGAGTATGGTCTGATCCTTGCTGCAAATTCTTTATTCATATAGCAAATTGTTTCATTTTTATTTAATATATAAGAATTAAGACTTCATTGAAATATCCTGATCTTGCACACTTAACTGTATAGATGAAAGAGGAATGTTTTCTATGCTTATGGAACGTTTGAGATCAAATATACTGATGTGAAATGATAAGAAATAAACCATTAACTCCAGCTATCAGTTTAATTTATAGTACCCCTTTGGAAAGTTATGCCTGAGTAAAAGAACTGGGTAGAACTAGAAATAGCTTTGTACATTTTAATTCATTACTGACTATTTCATTAAAGTCTGCTTTACAGTTCATTATTAAAAACCATTTTGTATAATCAAAATAGATCAGGCTGAATGACTTTTTAGTATCTGGTAATTCAATTGATTACATTCAGATGCTTTTCTTATGATATGAAGATGAAATTTCAAAGTATAAGCAAGTGATTATATAGGAATAAACTATAACTGTCCCTTGTGAAGACCCTTAAACAGCAGCTTGGGATGCTAATTGACAGGCATTTCTGTTCTGGTGCTGTATTGCTCAGCTGAGCTCAGTAGGAGGTGAGTAAATATTGTTTCAGGTACCTACAGCAACCAAGGAGAGGTATTCCTTTATCTTTTTAAAGTAAGTCAGAAATATTTTAAAAAGTGAGTAAGGTATTCTTCAGCTGTGCAAAACAGAATTCCTGAACAGCTAGCATAGTGTAAAGGAGGTTCCTTGACCCAGCAGTCAGGTAATTAGCAGGCTGGTTTATAATTCCTGATTTTCTATAATTCCGTGCCATATTCTTGTATTTCAGGCCCCTTAAAGTTCTACATGGAAAGAATAAATAGCAAAAGTGTTTGAAAAATAAATTCTCTGATATTTTATGCATTCAACTGTATTTAACAATATTCTCATTATAATTCTAAAATTCAGTTATATAATATACCTGCACGCAGATTTGGGATGTAGATTTAAGCAGCCAGTTGAGAAAGCTCAGGCTATTTACTAATTCTGCTGGCTAAGCATAGTAGTACAAGAATTATTTTATTAAACAAATAATCGATTGGTAAATGAAATTTTAGCATTTATATATGTGTTATATATATGTGGGGGTATGTATATACACATATATGTGTAATATATTTACAAAATATGTGTATATATACACACACATATATATTTATATATATATATATATATATGTTTGTGTTTATCCAAAAATAAATAAAATACCTTTTGCATCCAAAGGTTTCCAAAACCACACATCTATGTGTAGGTAGGCTATCTTCTGAATAATGCTCATAAAAGTATTCATCACATTTAGCACTGAAATCCAAAAAGGTTTGAATAGAATATTTTTTTTCTAAGCATTAATAATATTAATTTTTTCATTTGTTTGCTGACTTAAGGCTGTGCAAAGATTTTGATAACTTGTCTCTATATTGCAAGATAGACTATATTTCTTGTTAAAGAAACAATATTTCTTTGTATTTGTGAATATTTAGGTAAATCATAGAGTCATAGAATGATTTGGGTTGGAAGGATCTTAAAGATCATCTGGTTCCAACCTGCCTGCCATGGGTTGGAACTCTCACTAGAAATTTATCCTTGCTTTAATTATCCCTTTGATTTACATGTCTCTTCCTTATTTTTACTTGCTAGCTTGAGCAGATGGAGCTTGAAGTTCGAGAGATCCCACCTCAAAGTCGGGGAATGTACAGCAGTCGAATGAGAAGCTACAAACAAGAAATGGGAAAACTTGAAGCTGATTTCGTGAGTTTTTAACATATCACATGTTAAAATAAGATGGCATCCATGAGATTTTTTTTTTAAACGTAATCAGTTATTCAGGCAACTCAGTCTGTGTTTTTGATTACTGTGAGAGAGAAGTTCTGCATGTATTTTTCTGTATTTGTGGTCAGATAAAAACTGGGGAAGATAAGCTTTTATTTTTGTAGTATTCTCAACTTGAGTTGGTAGCCTTCTGCCCCTTTGTCCCAGATCTGGTTTGTTTCTGTGACATTAAACATTGGGAGTGTTTATGCTGTTGGAATAACAGCTGGTAACCTTAGTTCTCAAGGAAAGATTGGTAGAATGTTAGAATTAATACTAAAAATGTAACATAAGTATACTCTTCATGGTAAATAACAATTCATTTAATTCAGCTTGTTGCAATGTGGGCAGTAACATGAAAAGCAGTGTAATCTCCAATCCATGGAATTTTTGAATATAATTTATCTCCTATGCATTTCTTTTCTTAGTCTCTGTTATTTCTTTTCCATTCCACCTAGATTCTTCTCGGTTTTGGAAAAATCTGTGAAAAATACTACATTTTTTCAAGTAATGGACGCAAATTAACAAGATTCCCTTGTCTAGGGTTTTCTGCTACAGTTATCAGTCCTTTTTTGTGACTAGGATTTGCATTGAATAGATTTACATAGAGACAAAACCGTTTTCTCTAAAGTCCTGAAAAAGTTCAAAGGGATTGCAAAGTGTAGGAAAATGCTTTGTTAATTGGCAGCAGCTCAGTTCCTCCAGGGTGGGGAGAAAGAAATAACTGTTGGCAGTGTTTTCCATTCACTAGAGAACTGTGAATTTTCTCCGGTTGCTGGCAGCAGTTTATCCCTGCAGGGGAGGGGAGTCAATGTTTGTACCTGCAGCCAGGAAATCCAGCTGACTGTCACTCCTCTGTGCTTCTGCCAAGTTGAAGAGTTGCACAAAAATGTATTAGCAGGAAGATGTCTGCAATTCTGTAAAGTTTAAGGAATGTTAGGATAAAAAGACTTGCATCAAAATTTTAGATGATTTCATGCTGTTCCCCTGTAGGAAGTGTATATGGTCTTATTGAGTAAACAGTGGCTTCCAAAAGAGAGCAATTTCTTGTCCAGGAGTGAATGCTGTTTACCTCCTCAGGTGTAGGAGAATTCCCTGTCAGCACACTTGTTGCTGGCCAATTTCTCCATGCTGCCAGAAGAAAGGAGCTGGCACTTCTGTACTCCCAAGCAATAGGGAATGGGAGAGTTCAGAAGAGGAGAAATGAGCATGTGTGGAAGAAATGTGTCAGATCACTAGGACTTGTGATTGGAAGAAGGTAAGTAGTTGCTCAGAGTGAGGAAGCAAAAAATGGCATAAGAAAGAGGAAGGAATAAATTATAAGAATGGGAAAAAAGTCCCCAAATCCAAGGATGGCATTCAGCAAAAGATCAAGGGAAGAAAGTGGAGTGAATAATGAAGCAAAATACTGGGGAGGAGGGGACAAGCCAATGGTTGTGCCTGGAAAAAATATCAGTCGTATAGAAAATATAATGTTGTTATGATTAAATTTCCTGCATAATCCCAGTTTCTAAGTACTAACACATCTTCTAAGTTTGTATGTGTAGGTTTGAGAATCTTTTTGTCCTACTGTCCAGTCAAATAACAACTTGTTGGAAACTGTATAACAAAATGATTCAATTGTGAGTTCAAAGAAGAAGAGGAGGAAGGAAAGGAAATGTTATTTTGACTCTTTAAACTGCTCTGGCTGGAGGGCCATTGAAGGCAGGAAGTTGAAAATGTTTGCTGAAATTAAAGTGCTTTTGTGCGTTCTGTCTGAATGTTGTCCTGAGTGAGTTGTGACCTGTTTGATTGTAAGAGATTTTTTAAGAGCTTTAGCAGACCTTTAGAGAAAGCAGATCATAGTGTTTCTAAAATGAATTTGCTTTTTTCGATGAAGGGAAATCTTTAACTGGGAATGATACTGGCAGTTTTGGGTTAGGATCAGTTTACAGGTTTGCTGCTCAAGGTTCCCAGCTCTTCCAAAAGGCAGGCAGATGTGAGTTTGCAAAGTTTTGTGACATTCTTTATAAACGGGTTGGAATCTCAGCTGGATTGCATTGTATTTGGCTTGGCCTTTCTTCCTGTGTAAAGCACATGTGTGCTGAAGACAGGACATTTCTCAATCATCTTGAAGTGTGTGTTTCATTTAAAGAAATAATCTCTGTGAAATGAATTGCAAGAATTACATAAATCATTATATATTCTTTTAAAACAAGTTCTACATGTATATTTCAGACAAGAAGTGAATGTAGATCTGGAACTGGAACCTTTATATTCATCATAAGGAATAAGACTTATGTTTTTGTGGTTCTTTGTATGCCTTTAACATCTTGCAAATTTGCCAATACCCAAGAAGTTATGGAGAACAGCAGCACAATAACATATTTAAAAGTTAGGAGAAGTAAATGTGAAGTACGTACACTGTCCACGCTTTACTTGAATTATGTGGTTAGTTTCATGCATGCTACCATGCCAGAAGTATATTCTGAAAAATATGGATTTAAGCTTAGTTGAGCTATGCTTTGAAAATTTCAATAATCACTTATCTGTCTCTAGTTAGTTTTCTGATCAAGTAGGAAAAAGTTGCTAATAGAAATTTATTTCCCCTCATTGCTAAGCCTCGTTATCTTGAGTCATGCACACAATTACTCATCAGTAGTCTGCAGTCCAGAGGTATGTCTGGAGGCAATGACTTCCATGCACTGTATCCCACATGGGTAACTGGTTACCAACTAACTGCATTAAATGATATTAGAGGAGAAAAAAACTACCTTGCTCCATCTTGTTCTTCCCTGTTGGAGAGGAACAGTGGTAATGAATAAAAGGATAGCTCAATTTTGTCAATAAAAGTACTCAGATACCAGAGCACTGTGATTATGTAGGGGGAAAATTTAACAATGAATGCATTCCACCTCAGCTGAAGCTAGACATTTCTGATACTTGCATCTGGGCTGTGCAGCCTTCCTTGGGAAGGATCCGTGCATGTAGCAAGCAGTTCTGATTTGGCTGTGTCAGGTCACACCAACTTGCTGCCTGGCAGAGTTCCAGATGCCTTGGGAGAAGCATAAGAAGAGGGCAAGAATGAAGTGATACTTTGCAAAAACAAAACAAAACAAAACAAAAACTGTATACATATCAAAAGGCCAAGTTTCAGAATTGCTTACTATGCCTGATTAACATCTATCAAAACAGAATTAAACTGTTTTTTAAAGCTTATGTGTTGCTGTGTTTTTTTTTTGTTTGTTTTTGTTGTTGTTGTTGTTGTTGTTTGTTTGTTTGTTTGTTTTAACCTTAATTAGATTATCTTATTTTCAATAATATGTATCAGCACCATGGGTACTGATAAGTATTGAAAAGTGTAGTCCCAAACCTTTGGTGGCTCTCGGGTTTGTGCACAGGGCAGGTTTGCTGGGTTGCAGAGGCTGCAGTAATAGCTCTATCTTGTGGCCCCGAGTGGAGTTGCAGACCACGTACTTGTGCTTTCTGAGTTCATTAAAGTTTTTGGACCACCTACTAAAGAGTTTCTGAAATTCAGGCCAAGATTCCTATGAGCATCTTTTTCTTTTTATTTTTTTTATTTTTTTTTTCTGCACCTGCAAAGGCATCATCGTGTAGTTTAAGCTTGTAAATATTTTTTTCTCAATTATTCCACATGTAGAATGTCCATGGTAACTGACTGCACAATGTAAGTTATAAATGCAAACAAATGCCTATATTTTATTGCAACTTTTTAATTAAATGGATTTATTTTTTCAAACAGGCATTAACTCCAGTGATATAGCCAGTGATCTGTAAACACTGGAAATATACAGTGGTTAAAAGGCTGTCCAGATTTTGTTAATGCACTTTGATCTGAATTTATCCCAATTTGCCTGAAACTGTAACTATCTTAACAGCAAATCTATGCTTACATGAAGCTCACAGTTGAAGTATGAGGCATTCAATAGATAGGTAATCTAAGTACACAGTAAGACTATATTATGTATTAATATATGTATTATAAAACATGAGTACCACACAATCAGTGCTGAAAGTAGGATAGGATATTCTGTAAGAAAAATGGCCATCAAACAGAGGAGGTGTAAGAACTGTTCTGTTCTATCATGGTAGCCCAAAGGTAAAATTTGAGGGTAGCATTTGTTATCAGTCTATGAAGCAGTACTCGTTCCTGATAAAGATTCAGAATTGCTACTGTTTTTAGTAATTCTGACCTTCAATTTAGGATCAAAAAAGAGAAGGAGAAGCCATGAATATACTGTATGAAACTGGACAAATTTGATATGTTTTTGGCATTTAGCTTCAGTTCAGTAAATAGTGAAGATACATATTCATATTGCATAAATCCCACAGGTTCTGTTTAATATAATAGTTAAAATGACAGCTACTGTTAAGCTTTCAAAACATTTAAGGAGATAAGCAATGGAATTTCATTAGATAAAGCTAGGTCTTTTGTGGGGCTCTGAGTTACCACCTGAGTCCAGGAGCTGACCTGAAGAACAGCTACAATTGTGCCAGTCACACGCTGGCTTCTTTTTGCCAACACCACCGCCCTTATTTCAGGTTCTGTCACCTACCCAGACAAATAATCATAAGGCTATAAGCATAATGAAAGATGCTTGTCAAAACATGATTTAGAGACTTGCATTTTTATCACCAGCATCTTCCTTAGGTTTCCAGTTTGAGCTGCTTTGCCTACTTGGCTGCTGCTGAGCATTGTGCTAACTTCTCCTCTGTAGAGGAAAATTCCATGTTGTCTTCAGTTTGTTTTCACTTCTGTTCCCCACCTCGGTGGGTTTGTGGTGGAAGAAGGTGGAGGGATTATTTGACATTTTGCTATTACACTACTGCTGCTTTAAATAGGAAAAAAAATGAGGCAGGATAGAATACTTATTAGAAAATTATTTATTTATTTATAATTTTCAAGGCTTAGACTGAGCTTTTAATGAAAGATTAAGAGA